TCATCCCTTACCCCTTTTCTCCCATTGAACTTGTTGTCTTGTGTTGATTTCATGGGTTGGGAGCATTAAATTATAAAATAATACAAGCAATCCTAGATGTACATCTATACATGTGTGTATACACAACTTACAAAAATTATACCTTTGAACTCCACTATCTTGAACTCTTAGGAAAACACAAACCACGTGCAGTTTAAGATGTGGGGAGTTCGAAATTGCCAAAGTAAGTGACAGGAAATATATATCCAAGGGAAAATGGCGAGGAGTTCAAGATGCATGTAACTGAGTTCCAGTTAGCAGGGCTTCTGGTAGGTCGCGGAAAAAAAGTCAAATTTAGCGGGATGTTCAGGGACAAATACGCGGAAAAAACGGCCGATTTCGCGGGAATTTCACGGGAATTTTCGAGGCCAATCTCGCTGAAAAGCAATCGGTAAAAAAGATCTGATTTCACAGGAGTTTTCTGGGCAAATTTCGCTTGAAAGCAATTGGTTTTGCGCTGATTTGAGGAACGTTTTTAATGAAACTAGACGTTCTTAGAGCATTTACTCAGGCTTCGTACCACAATATGAAATCGTACTTTAAAAGTAAGCTTATAGAACACTAAAAACAAACAAGAGAATCAGGATATTAGAAACACGAGAGTTACGCTTAGATATTTATCACTCAAGTTGCTTTGTTGAATATCTTCTTTATCCAATTGCATGTTGTTCGCCTGATCTTCGAAGTTCTGTTTCCGTTGATTCTCGATTTTTTTCAACATCTGAGGCAAACAGTAGAGAGACACCAAAAACCTACTACACAAAGGAAATACGGTACGTTTGATTCTTGTCAATCTTTGGTTTTTTATTCTCGTGCTTTGTTTGGACTTTCGTACTTGCCAAGAAATGATTACTGAAGGTTGCGGTTTCCTCTATAATTGACCACGAGATTATTTTTTAGAGAGAACATCATTTACTCTTTTCACAACAATGCACTCTACAAATGACAAAGCCTTTCACATCGTGGCTGCTGCCCAGTTTTTTCCAACATTAATGTAAGAACGTCTGATAGTTATGGGATGTTGTTTACTTGTTGCCGTGAGGAAGTTTTAAGGTCATTTAGCAAGTTTGCAGCAAGTAAGCCGCTCCAACAGCCAAGATAACTTTCAAAGTATTTGACAAGTATTTGGTAAGATTTCTAGCGAATATCGCGGGATTTCGCGTGTTTTCGTGAATTTCGTGGGATTTTACAGATTTACTTGAAATTCGCGGCTCCGTGACCAGGCGAAAAAATCAGAAGCCCTGAGTTAGTGAGGTTCTTCATTTAACTGCATATGTATAAAATTAATGCACACGTTTGTATCGCAGAAAAGTGTATAAATTATATTAATTCAGATACTGCGTCAACTCCCAACGCGGACAATAACTCTTGTCTACTCCCAGGACAATATATAGCATTCTTTTTCACAAAAAATCTCAAGTTTATCCCATAATTTTATATTCTATTGTATTTTATAGTATTTACTGGATTGTATTTTTATCACTATTTTTGAATTTTTGAATTTTTACCACCATTATACATTGTACCATTTCGCCCGTTGAAGACTGCAATTAAAGACAGTCGCAAGCTTGTGTTTTTTAAATACTTTTAGCCAGAAAATGTTTTATATTTCCCCATGTTTGGCTGCAGCCCCTGCACTGTATATTTGTATACGTATGTACATATATGTATGCACAGTATATGTGTTGTACATTTAAGTCAAAATGAAATTTAGGTTAAAATGAAATTCCTTTGTCTCTTAACCCTAATTATTCATGGATCATGAATAATTATGGTTAGAAGACAAAGAAAATTGAGAATCAAACTACATTAGGTTAAAATCACTTTAATCTGAATTTTATTTTGACCTAGTACAACATATGCATGAATAAAATTAAGTTCACTTACATCTCACTGTTACATCCACTGTATACTCTGCAATACTTGTACCCAAACCAGGAGCAGTAATAGCAGCAACACATCTGTAACTTCCTGCATCGTTCTTCTTTGCTGACGTTATTGTGTAGTTAGAGTTGTCTGCATCTTCTTGAACCTTTACATTGTCTCTATACCATGTGATCACTGGCTTGGGGTTACCACTGGCAACACATAACAAAGTTCTCGCATTTCCTTCATCTATGGTGATGGGTGCTGGTTCTTGATGTGTGATCTTTGGTGCAACTATATCAGGGGGACGTCAAATCTCATTAACTGTCTGGGTTAGTTAGAGGGTACATGTACATGTAGGTACTACATGCATTATGTAGGTTTGTTACCACAATTCCAAAGGTGGTCAAGCCAGGTTAAAACATAACCTGACAGAATTCAAAGGCATGAAGTTTTTCAGTTACACTGTACGTATATAAACATGTAATGAAGAGTAAAGATATCGAAACTTACCAACTACAATTAGTTCAGCCTGGTCTATTATCCACCGAGGATTATGAGTAGTGAAGCTAACTCTAAATATATAGTTTCCACTGTCCTTTTCCTGGATATTTAATAACCTGAGTGTA